TGCCAGTTTTGACTTTTGCCGGGTTTAGTTTCGACTTTTGCCATTTGCCAAAAATAGTTTTGCCTAACAACAGTAATTTACACCTGTTTTCATAAATTCTGGGACAACAGAAAAATTTTCCGGCGATCGAATAGATAAATTACAGAGTTGGGACCAATGAGTCACCGATATCAGCTGAAATCAGAAACTTATCAAGCCGGCCTTGGGACATTTTTTATTATCCCAAAATTTATGAAAACAACTGTAAATAAAGCAGAATCGGACTTATTTAAACGTGATTCAGGTTCAAGTAACAAAGATAAGGTCAAATGAACCAACATTTGGCCTGATTCAGGTTCACGTAAATCAGATTTTGGTTTTGATCTAATCCTTTTAATACTTGAACTTGAATCAGTTTGAGAATGGACCTTTATTCGAGTTCGGACAAACTTATTTCGGATTCAATTATTCATCATTTAATAATATCGACTCATTTTTACATTATAAAGAGTTTACTATTAAATGATTTAAGTTAAATTATCGGTTAGATTTTTAACTGGTCTCTAACCGACAGTATCGGTTACGGTTATGACCAATCATAACCGTTTATATCCTTAATTTTACGTGTAACTTGTAAGGATCGGACTATTGACGATATACATTTGGAGAATAAATAAAAAGAATCGCAATTATAGAGAACAAGCATATGTTTGAGCCAAGATTCAAACTTACATTTAGAGGGAGATTTCACTGTAATAGAGATGCGTCGTAAAGAATTGAGAAAGTAGTATACTTTTTTTTTTTTTTTTTTTTTTTACAAAAAAGGTTTTGATTGTACGATAAAGATTTCGTGCCAGGAACATAGTGAGACAGAGTGTATAAATCGTCATCAAGATATTACAGTAACCCTTATTAGCTGAGAATATTTCTCACTAAGCTACACTTATCCTCTAATCAATTTTTTCTGCATTGATATATTGTAATATACAGATATAAGTACCGCCGAAAAGTTACACATCTTACTGAACTTAAGTCAAATGCTAATCAGCGACATATAATATGTAATTTAAAGCATATGCGCTAGACTCTAATAAATGATGAACTAGACTACACTTGATTTTACTTCAAAAAAGAAACTC